TAAAAAAATGTTTGATTCATATTTTAATTGTAGGCCTGCTTGGTAATGAAAATGATACATATTATTATATATTTTTCTAAAACATATTAGAAACCTATTTTATTTTGCACAAACATTCCACATGCTTATGCCATTATCAGCGAAAGTCAATAAAAAATACCAACATTCTTCAGTAGTATTTAAATATATACATTCATTCATGTATTTTATGTTAAACGTGCGGTACTGTAATATACATGTATTTCAGAAGAAAATTCTAATTGCTGTCAACCAACCGGCTTAAATGGCTGCACTGTAATATACATGTATTTCAGAAGAAAATTCTAATTGCTGTCAACCAACCGGCTTAAATGTCTGTCACGCCTAGTATAGCTGTTAGAGGGTATTTATCTTTACCCCCAGCTGATTCGGTAGGCGTGACATATGTTTAAGCCGGTTAGTTGACAGCAATTAGTGAGACTCCCCAGGGAGTTAGATCAATCCAGAAGGATCGATCTAGGCACGGGGACCCAGTTCAAGATAATTACCCCCTAATAGCTTTACTAGGAGCGACAGACATTTAAGCCGGTCAAGTTGACTGCAATTTAGTGGGACTCCCCAGAAAGATAGATCAATCCAAATATCTGTGGGAACCAATGCCGTGCCTAGTTGAGAGATTTGATATCTAAAAATTCAAAAGTAAAGGCACATAAATTGAGGATGAGTTCGTGCAAAATCACCTCATCAACATGAATGAAAGCAAGTTCCGAAAAATATGGTTTGATATCCTTTCTTTAAGATTTCAAATGATGGATATTGATGTAGATACATTTGTGTCTCTAGATGAACCTGCTTTTTCTACAGTTTCAACATCATGGACACTGACAATGACGGCTTCATCTCCAAGAAAGAGTTTGTTCACGCACACACTGAATTTTGGTCTACAGAAAATCCTGACAACAAATACAATGAATGCTTTGGTCCGCTCACTGACATTGAAAATTGAAACGATGCTTTCTATTACCAGTTACCAGATACTTAAAATGATAATTCGGTTCATTAAAAACGCAATATAAACTTAAATGTGACATGGAATATTACATACCAATGTTCTAGACGAACGTCCTAAATATACAATATATGCGATTTATTAAACTAACAGAAACAGTTGATGCCGAATAAGTTAAAGCACAAATTGAACAAAGTCCTATTTGGATCTCAGTACGTACTGTTGCAACAGAATAAGTATAGAAACTTGGTAACATACAAAATGATTTTAACGATTGTTGAGGTTGATGGTGAAATTTTTTTGTTGTGAGACGATAACAGCTGTACATAAAATTTATACCATTATATCTTTAAAAAATAAATTTTAACAGTGATGTATTTAAAATATTCCAAATATATATATATAAGCATTATAGATCTAAGTGTTTACATGCAGTCACCTGTACCATTGTTATTGAATATACAGGGTATTGTACAGTAAAATATGAATTGACAAATTTAACCATTTGCAATATCCTTAACAAATATGTAAAACGGCCAATCATATAAAGTCATCCACGGTGGAATGAGGGGTTGAAAAAAATGTCCATTCACTGAGTTAACGACAAAAACCGTGACAGCACTTTGAACGCAGCCATAATTAAGCCACAACCTAGATTTGTGCTGTTCTTCCATCGCCTTGGTTGTCGTCACTTGCATTAGCATCTCCGTGCTCAGTGGCACGAAAATGCTACTTATCACCTGCGTCATTGAAGAACTCCTCGACGTAGAGCCGCAATGGCGACCAAAGCGACGGTTCCATCTCCCCCCTCTTGAGTTCCATGAGCTGTAAGAATCACAGATATATTTTTAAAAAGCACATCCCCACCTTGTTTCAAAGGCTACAGCATTACAAAGAAATTTGGCGTTTGATTGGTTGAAAGCTTCGCGTGATTCTTTGGTTTCATTCTTTCTGAATTAAATTCATAAGACAAACAGACCGCCGGGAATTTTCAGAATTAATCCATACAAAAGCATGAAATAGTTTTCACAAGTATATACGTCAACTCGCTTGGTGTCCATCCTCAGTATCTGTATCTTTCTTTCATGGCAAAAAATGAATACTTCGCTGATTTAATTTTTTTGCTTAAATCAAACAGTCAAATAAAAGTGCCATTTTAAAATAGTGTTTTACCTTGGGAATCAAAAGCAACAAAACCGTAGTTATGATAGCGAAGAGCGTGAAGCCAGCTACGACCCCAAAGTTGACACTGGGCTCTTCTTGTACGAGGACACCTACTGGAACTCCGACAACAGTCGCCAAGGCAATGATAACCATAGCAAAACCAACCAGACTGCTGTCACCAGTATCTCTCTTCACCGACATCACCCTAGAAAAATAAGAAACTAATGCAAATATTACGTTATATCAAATAGCAGTATAATAATATAAGTAGAACCGAAAGTTGTATCCATGACGTAGGTAGAAACTACAGACCCTATATATACAGGGAATACAGTAAAAATGTCTGAAAGTAAACTTCAAGCATTATGTCAATAATGTGTTTCCATGTTGTGTCTGACGTGATTCGAAGATTTGAAAGTGTTCTGGATGCGACAGATAGTGTGTTGGATGTTACGGTGTACATATTGGTTCACGTACCAGGTAGGCCAGGCCAAGCAAACAGAGACCAGCAACAGCAGACCTTTGTACACGATAAACGCAATGGTCCAGCCCATAGCGCTCCCGCTGTGACATTGGCGATAGAAGGTCTGATACCGCACCATCTTGGCACCATCTCTCTAATTTAAAGAAGGAACAGGGGTAATATTATATTCAAGACAAACTGTGAGGCAGCAGCTGAGCTAATGTACTGGTCGCACATGTGCCACCTTTGGTACAATATGAAAAAAGTACTAAAGCAATGTGACTTTGAAAAAAAGACCAATTACCAACTTGATAAGTAGTTGAGTCTAAAAGCAATATATTCTCTTTCACAAGGTACATATACATGGTGGAGACCACCAGTATAGGTCAACTTACAATTTCGGGTAAAAGCTTATCTTCCACCACGAGTGGGTCAGTCAACTGCCAGATAAGCAGCATCAAAATATCAATAACCAACAGTACGGCAACTCCAGACAGCATGCGCAGTTCTACTTGCAGACCCTGGCAGATATATATTGTACATAAAGATCCGAAACTGAAGTCGTAACATTTTGGTTTGCCACATTAAAGATGAACAACATTCAATGTACGTGGATATATGTGTGGTATACGTATATCTGTGAATATCCGTAAAAATCCATCAGTCGCCCTGGTAGAGGGTAGGTACAGGTATATGTGAGTGGTTTATGTGTGAAATAGCACGGGCACTGCAGCTGTAATAAAAGCATTTAATGTAGCTTGCTTCGTTGATAGTTGATGTGTCTGCTTGGGTAATCATTGTATTTGCCTGCAATCCTTTCTATGAGAATGTTTTGGATTTCACGATATGTGACAGTCTGTTGTACGTGAGATTTAAGTGGATGCACACAGTACAGCTCATGTGAGACAGAATCAAGAGCTGACCACTACAAGTTTAAGTTAATTTCTTAGTTAGCTAATAACTATCGAATTGTGTCCCACATGCAGTGTGCTGAATACGACAATATCATGTATGCGACAATTTAACAGATGTGGCAGTATGCAATATGTTAATAAAACGCTGCGTTTTACTCAAAGCCAATATTACATTAATAAAAACTCACCCAATCCTGCTGATAACGAAAGAGGCGATACACTCCCCACATCTTTAGAGGCATGGTACCAAACGACAGTGTAAACCCAGTCACAAACAGCCAGACAAAGGCATTACATGGTACATTACTGGTCGACGGCAACTCTGTCGCACTGCCTAGAACAAATGATCTGGTTTTAGAATATAGACCTGTATAGTACGTATAATGCAACTAAAGCCCCTTTCAGAATAGGGGAGTACTTAGTCCGAGGGTCAAATTTGGCCGACCTATTTCAAAACTTCCCCACGGGATATATATTCAGTGCCTGCTAGCGGATTAGATGACAAGCTTTGTAGTGGGTCACCATCGGACTATGAAAAGGGCCTAAAACAAATGTGTTATTTTTTTCTTAAATGCAACACGGTAGAAGTCACCAGCAAAGATTAAAAAACGGGTTACTAAAATACACAGAAAGTTAATTAGGTAAGTGGCTTAATAGCTCTGAATTTAGCCAGTGATTACCCAAGTGAAAATCACACACTGAACACTATCCATATAGCATCATATAGCACTCTCTGAAAATGAACATTTCATACAGAACAGCACTGCTTCCAAAACAGAAAGCAATCACACTGATTTTTCCAACAAAATCTGCACTTCAGTCCTATAAACCTTTGAGAATCAAGTTTGATAATCATAAGTAAAATTCATGGCAAATGTGTCCAAGATAAAGTTTTCTTCAATTTTGATTCAACATTACATTATGCTGTTAATTTTTAATAACGAAATAAAAGCATCATGGATATTCTGAAAATGTGACTTCTTCAAGCCTATGGAAGTTCAAAGTCACACTTTGAAAATGGCGATATGTGGAAATTTTAATTCTTAAAAAATAAATAAATAAATAAAAAAATCCAGATAAGTTAACCATTAAGATAAGTCTACCATATAAAGCTGTATTTTAGTCATATGTTACTTTTCTGTAAGTTTAAGAAGAGCAAGTGACATGGTTTTCCTTTAACGGCGACGACGGCGACGACAGACGCAGGTGATGGCTATATGTTTGGTGACGGCTAGATGTGTCTGTACATAAAAAGATACACTGAAATCGACTTGCAAGGCTGCTCACCTTGAAGAATGACACTGACAGCCAGGAAGATGCATCCCAGTGCAATGGTGCTGTTCATCAGTGGCCATGAGTTTTGAATTAACCTTAATATTAAATTATATTGTGTTAGTTGTGATCGTGTATGTCGTTGTGACAGGAATGGTAGTCCTAGGAATGGAAGTCCAGGCTATAGGGTCCCATATGGTTAGTATATGTTAGGGTGAGTCGTAGTATTGGAGCTAGCATATGGGACGAATGTCATCTGTACAAAGTAATGGGAAATTTACTGTCATTCCTGTCACACCGGTGCTTTTGCAGTCAGAAAACATATGAATGACAATTAGTGCAATAAAACTTAAAATATCCTTCCCATGTGAACAAAAATTCTTGAAATGGGTCGCTTATTCGCACCTGTCAGATATTGATCTATGATTGATTAAATTTACACACTTTATGACAGTTATATGAACGCATTCCTGCCAGAGCTGGTTCCAATACGTACTGCGTCTTCCATTTAACAATCGTTATTAAAAGGAACGCAACAGTGATAAGAATTGATATCACAGCGATCACAGTAAAGGCTATTTTTAGTTCGTCTGCGACAACCAGTACTTTTCGGACCGTCCTGTACCCAGACTGAGGTATGGAGCCACCTATGGAGAGAAAAAAAATATGTCTTACACAGCTGCTCAGAAGGCATCGGGTGATTACACACTTAGAACTATTTACAAGACAGCTAGTCCACTTGGACGACCCGCCACCCTCCAAATAAATAAATAAATAAATACATAAATAAAGCCCATGCGGAAGCTGCATGGACATCAAAGCCAAACCCAACATGGATTCAACAGATGGTTTCCACTGTGCATCAGCAGGGAAGTTAACATTTTAGCTGAAAAAAAAGCACTGTTTCTGTAACTTTCCTTGCCGAAACTGAATGTTTTCCCTATTCTATTTATTTATGACAGGCGTATATAAATAAACGAAGGCGAAAATATGAGGAGATAGATCTATGAAGTCGACATACTGCTTGGGTTCAGACAATAAAATAATGTTGAATGAATTTTAGTGTTTGGTGATCAGTGCACTGAATATTTAGAACACCCGCAGAACGCACCATGAGAATACCACAGGTCATTAATCTTCTCCGACAACGTGATGTTCCGGGATTTCTGGTCATAAATACCAAACAATATAGCTGTACCGTCTGAAATCAGAAATAGGATACCAATTTATCATTGATTTCAGGATATAAATTACTTTATACGTAGAGGGCATAGATAAAGAACTGGATGCATGCATACACCTCTTCTTCTCTATCACACTCACACACTCGAGCAAACGCACACACACGGAAACACAGACGCACACTAAAGCAACTGAATTGCAATTTATATTTGAAACAATTTTTCCACGGTTGTTGAATGTGTCGGCATGGGCTCACTGGTGTACATATAATGTTTGGTATTGTGTAACTCGTCTGCTTAATTAAAAACGAATAATAATAATAAAAATAATAATAATAATAATAATAATAATATTAACTAGAGAATCAGAGAGGCGATACCTCCTCCGGGTATTGTACCACCAGCTGTAGCAAGCGCATTCGTATGGATGCACCGCTTACGATGCTGTGCTTGACAAGCTGTACAATGCAGTAAACAAAAGTTCTCAATATTTTTGTTGAAGAATACCATTTAAAACAAAATCATGGGTAAAAATAGGTTAATTCCAAATTTGTGAAGTGCGGCTCATGTCGAAAAGTAGGTCAAAGGTAAATTTAAAGATCACAGTAAGGGTGCCCATTCAAATTCAATAGTAACTATAGGCATAATTCTGCTAGTTTGGGAGACATAACGGATAGAAAAGTTGCAAAGTCCAGTTCACGGTGAATTAGAGGCCAAAGGTCAATTTCAAGGTCACATTTGGATTGCCAGTATATGACTTCCTATTCAAGTTCAAAGTTATATTTGACCTAAATCCAAGAGATGGGTACGTAGGCCCTTATAGTCTAGGAGGAGAAGCGGTAACGGTGACTTGGCGGCTGAGCCGGCGGAACGGGCGGGTCGGGACTTAAACCATGTGTACCGCCAGCGCCTGGTGGTACAATAATATGAGTGTTTGCTTGACTAGTGGCTGTCGGAGAGGAGGTGGTTGTGTGTGGCTTTATTACATTACATCTGGATGAATGCTTAAAACCTACTTCTTATTTGCTCCATAGACAGCCAGCTCATTCGACTTCCATGCAGTGAGAAAGACACTGGACCCTTGAAAGAGAACAAAATGTCATAATGTTACATAAGCAATGACGGGTTTGTGTTTTATTTTTTTATTTATTTATTTTTATTTATTTATTTATTTATTTTTTTGGGGGGTGGGGAGGTTAAGCACGTGTTCCTCCCTTACAGTGTAGCTTACAAGTTACTTCTATATATCTCCCATGAAAGTATAACTTTAGATCCGAGTCAAAGTCAGGCAATGTCCCCTCTCTGTACCCTACAAGTGAAAACCATAGAAAAACATTTTGTCTCTGACCCCACCAAAAACTTACGGAATAGTTAATAGAAGAAAACAATGAATTCACTTCAAATATGTCTCTCTGGAAATGTGAAAATACATTAAGAGCTATGACTTGCCTGCTAGTTTTTAAGACAATAATAGTGAAAACACAAAAAAAGCCCCATTTCAGAGAATCTTGTCGATTAACTCTTCCCCTGCATTATAAGACATCTGAAAAACCTTGAAATACTTACCGACGCCCCGAAGAAGTTGGTGCAATTCATTTCTGGCATCAGAGCGTCCGTCACCGTGCTCAGATCGGTGTACCTGAAGTTGGTGATCGCTCTTGGCGGAAGACGAGGCAGACTCTTGTTTAAGGCCAATGCAGCCGCCCATATGGCGTCATAATTCACTTGATATAGTATTATTCTGGTGTCATCATTGTACCAAGGTTGTTCTTTCATTTCCCTCAAAATTTCTGCATGATCCTAAAACAATGCGCCCGCGTATATACAGATATCAACAACGTCGCTCATCGACAGAGTTTACTACTCTTTAAGTTCACAAGATTTCCGTATTAAAGAGACTATGTATTGTTGATATTACAGCTTGAAATGCCTGCACGATATGTTTGTGTGTGTGTGTGTGTGTGTGTGTGTGTGTGTGCATGCATGGCCGCTGTGTGTGTGTCCACATGCGTAAGCGTATAGGTATACAGGTACCTTTACTGTAAATGCCCGTAATGATTCATATCCAACTTCGCTAGCATGTTTAGCGTCAGCACGGAATATAATGAACTGCCCTTCTGCCGCTTGGACCACCTGCTCTGCGTTACAAGAGAGTTGTCCTTTTTGATGCATGTTGGATGCTAAGTTGCGGTAATCTTTGACATGTTGCATCAATGTCAGCCAAACATATTTCTTTCCAATCAAGCCATATTTGTATGCCTGTTTGAATAATAATAAAAAAAAAGATAAGCAAACCACATCCTATGTCAAATATATGTTCTATGTCATTTTTAAAAAGTGTGGAATATTGTGTTGGATACAGAGCTGCCTTACGCAGATACTGTCATACGGTACATGTACATGTAACACTCTATCTCCCCTTTGAAAAAGTAAAACTTAATCAAGCACTTTCATCTTTCCAAGGGTTAAACACGACACCTTTTCAGAACCACAGAACCAATCTATTAGGGAGAGAAACAAGAGGGTCAATTTGTGTTTGATACAGTCAGTCTCCGCCATTGTCTTGTTTAAGATATATGTTAGCAAATAAAAGCTGATAGCAAATAAAAGCAAAGAATGTAAGTACGACTGGAAAATGCCAAAAACTAAATACATAATGGTACTTTTATTGCATTTTCAGTCCCAAGAAGTGTAGCGTGTAAGCGTAGCCAGTTACACTTCGGATTGGATTGTCGTTGTCTAGCTACCGAAGTGACGGGAAGGCCGCTAGGAACTGTAGGTCGTTTCCAACTACTAAATGTACAAGTGACATTCGTCCCATAAACATGTACTAATCCCAAGACTCCGACCAACCAAACCTGTAGTACTCATATGGAAACCCGGACTTCCATTCCTAGGACTACTAGATTTAGAGGTAAATTAAAGGTTTGCTTTATTTCATTTTATTTTAATATATTACGGTGTTTTTATGTCCCGATAAGCAGTTTATATACATATTAATGAAGTAACAAAAACAACACGGTTCCCATAGCTTTTCTTCATTAATTTCATTTTGTGTATTTTTCTTGTAGTAAACGCATATTTTTGCATGTGTTATAGATCTACTTAGCCTTCAAATGAGGGGAATATCGCTTTACACAAAACACGGGATCTCCGTTCTTAGATTAATTTTTCGGTTTACACTGAAAGAAATTGAAAATTGAAAAATAAACCCAAACTCAATGGAAATTTGCTCTTGGATTTAAGGCAAATCAAGACAGTTTAGAATTTGAAATTATATATAATGTCCTGTTATATCCCTTTGGTATTTTGGCGCTTTGGGGCTTAAAAAAAAACTAGTTGTACATGTAAGTGTAATAATCAAATAATTTAGAATAGTATACATTAAAAACATCAGTGGGGGTTGGGGGAGGGGAAGGTGATGTCAAAGGTAGGTCTCGAACCCAAGGACGTAACATGGCGATTCAAGAACATTTACCCTGTGGTCTTGCACGTTAACCACTACACAGACGAGCCGAAGTTGCATATTCATATACATTTATAATTGCATCATTTAACCGTATTGTTGGATAGGGACTTCCATTACTGTCAAAGGTGTAACAGGAATAAAAGTCCGCCAGTCCTACCTACTATAATTATGAGCCAGGAACCTTAGTCCCAGTAGGACTAGCATTCCCAAGTAATCATTACCAGGAACCGAGGTCCTATCCTGGGGAACCTGGATTACTATTACACCGGCAGATAGTGTTTATAAAACTACCGGATTACCTGTACTTTGGCGGCTCGTTGGTTCAGCCCATAACAGGCAAGTTGTGCGCTATCATTTTAACCTTACCTGACAAAACACATGACAAAGCGATGAGCCGTGTCCGTGAGTGTGATGCATAATTACCCTTGCGTCCAGTTCCTAGAATGACAGAAAAAACTATCTAATTTTATATGAAGGATATTGAATGTGTATCAAGTAGGGCAAATATAGGAGAAAGACACCATTGAACACAAGGAATGATGCATCTCTCCCATTATATCTTGGATAGCTTAATTCGGCTTCGTTTTAAACCAAGAAATTTGTATTGCAGTTTAAATCCATTCACTTATGATTAAAGTCTCGCCTTCAGTTCTTCCATCACTTGGCCCAGCTGCTCTACTCTATAGAATACAGAAGTGACAATTTCTATGCCCGACTGTCTTAGGAGAATTTCCACTTCTTTCGACATCTACTCTGAAAGAAAAAGCAAACACAGTTGTTCTTTAAAAGAACCCAATATTTCTTCAAACAAATGTATAGGTTTTGCATGCAGACATGCAGCAATTTTAATTGCCGCCAAAAGCCGCTAAAATGAAAAAATTCGTTTTACTTATTAATCAAATTCGTTACATGAGCCTAATTTTACATTTCATGCGTGATATACAGGCAAATAATAATACTAGATTTCCTTCAAAGGCAAAGAAATATTATGCTGTCAGTCCACTGGAAATGTCAGTATCCACTTTACCTCTGTAACCAGCTCCTTGTCCTCCGCAAGCAACGCCACGCGGGTCCAACCGAAGCGCTTGACAAAATCCACTTCTATGGTGATAACGTCTAGCAATGAGCCGATTGTCCGGTACAAGTATGGGAAGACGAGTCTTTGGGATAGTGTGGAAGACGGGCTACCGGTCGAAATCTGCAATATACACGTATCTATATAAGGATCGGTTGGTCCTCCACGTGAAATTTGTGGTGGTGAGCATGCCCCACTTCCACAAAAAAAAAAAAAAAAAAAAAAAAAAAAAAA